CCCGCCTGCCTCCTTTCCTTTGCGGGCCAGGCTGGGCTGCAGCCCCCGGGAGCTCCCGCCGGAGAGGAGGCGGCGGCGGTGGGGGAGAAGCAGCCCCCCCACACACACCGCGAGCCCTTGCAAAGAAAGGACTCCCCTCCGCGGCTCTTCCCGCGTCCCCTCCCCCAGGAGGACACCCCCACCCCCATTCAAGAGACAAACAGGCAGGGCTGGCCGAAGAGACCCCCCCCCGCTCTGGGGGCTTTGGAGGGGCGGGCGTGGGGGGGGGGGGGAGGGGGGGGGGGCCCCCCCCCCCCCGCCCGGCCCCCCTTTGGCCCCCTCGCCCCTTCCCTCCCCCCCCCCCCCCCCCCCAATAACAACCAGCCCAACCCGGTCATTAATTCCCCATCAGGGCTCCGCTTCTCCGGGGAGGGGAGGAGAGAGGGGTGGGTTGCATGGGAAGCAGGGGAGGGGGCGCCCCCGAAGAAGACCCTTTGGGGAGGGGGGCGTCCATCCCACGCGTGGCCGAGGCTCCCGGGCCAAAGCTGGGGAGGGGGGCGCGCTGCCACCTGATGGGGAAGGGTCCCTCCCCAGGAAAGTTGGCAAAGCCGGAGTGGGGCGGCTCAGGGGAACCCCCTCCCCTCTTTTCTTCCTTGGAGGGGAGGGGGGAGGAAAGAAAGGCCGCTTAAATTCCTTCCTTCCTCCTCCTCTTCCTCCCCCGCCCCCACGCGGGATTCCCTGCCTCCCACCCACCCACCCACCCCCCGCGCGCGGACAAAGCCAGACAATAGCCCTCCCCCCCCACCTCCACCCCCACCCGGCCGTTGGCTTCCACCTTCCCAACCTGGTTGGCTTACCTTTCCGGGGCGGCTTTTTTCCCCCCTTCGGCTCCGAGGAAGGAAGGAAGGAGCGTGGAAGAAGGAGAGGAAGGAAGGAGGGAAGGAGGCAGGACGAGCCCCCCAAATCACATATGCCCGGTCTGGCTCCCAGGTGGGCGCGCGAGAGTGGGACCCCCTCCGGCGGCTCGGAGCCGGGCAAAGTTGGCGAGGCGAAGGCGCAGCTGGCTTAGCCCGGTGGCGGCGGCTGCTGCTGCTCCTGGGCTCCGTCTCTCTCTTTCTCTCCCTCGCTCGCTCGCTCGCTCTGTCTCTCTCCGCTGCGTTGTTGCGCTTGGCTGGGCGAGCGCCTCCTCTGCCTCCTTCCCTCTCCTCCCCACGGCCGCCCCTTTTTTCCTTTCCCCTCCTTCCTTGACGTCAAGCCCGGGCCGAGAGGGAGGGAAGGAGGGAGGCTGGAGTAGAGCCCCCCCCCCGGGGTGGAGGGAGGCACGCGCAGCCCCCCTCCCATTAATGCCCCTCCCCAGGACGTGCAAATAAGGTCACCTGGTGCAACCACAGGATCGCGTGTTTTTTTTAGGATTCACTGGGTTTGTGTGTGTGTGTGTGTGTGTGTGTGTGTCTTCACTGTAGAGTTGTATTGTGGTGGGGCGGGGCGGGGGGGTTGCACGAAGGGAGGCTCGGCCAGTCTCATTGCACACGTGTTGGTATATATGGGGGTCTCCTGCTTGAGTAGGGGGCTGGACTAGATGACCTCTATGGTCGCTTCCAAGCTCTCTTCGGATTGCATTGTACTCTTTGACAACAAAGGTTGGAACTCCAGGTGCAGCCGCCCAACGTGGGGGTGGGGGTGGGGGTGGGAGTCCTATCCAATCTGAATAGAGCTGTGGAAGGGACCTTGGAGGTCGTCTAGTCCAGCCCCCTGCTAAAGCAGGAGACCCCGCCTAGACCAGTCCCCGAAGCCGGAGGGGGTGCGCCTGGACCCCTTTCCTCCCGGCTTCTCTGGCTGAAGACCCTCCCCCTGTCCCACCCACCCACCCCTCTAGGCGCTGGAGCCGGGTATGGGTGGGTGGCTGGCTGGCTGGCGCATCCCCTCCCCTTCTCGGGGCCCGGCCCAGCCCGATGGCGGCTCGCTCTCTTCCGAGGGGCCGCGGCCAAGAGGCCGAACAAAGCCGGCGTTCTCCTCCTCCTCCCGCCATCCGGGCGTTACGAAGCCTCCTCCGGAGGCAACCCGGGCGCGGCTGAAAGCGCTGCTCTCTGCCGGGCTCAACGTGCTCAACGCTTGGCTTTCCTTGGGACCCGGAGGGGTCATCCGTCCGGCCTTTCTTTGGGCCTGGAGAGGGGTTGGGGTGTGTGTGACCCAGCTCGGGGGAAAAGGGACTTCCGTGTCTCCTGAACGCCCTTCCCACGTGCCTTGATCCGTTGGCGCCAGAGGCAATTGGACTTTCTGGGTTTTCCTTTGAAGACGTTTCGCTTCTTGTCCCAGAAGCTGCTTCTGACATTGTTTGGCCTGAGATGTTTTATTAAGGTGTCTTGCTTAAGCAGGGGGTTGGACTAGACGACCTCCACGGTCCCTTCCGGCTCTATTATTCTACCTTCTGGGGTCTGTATGAGAGAACTAACCTGGGACCAAGGATGTCCCAAAGGTCCTTTTCTTCTTCTTCTTCCAAGAGGAAACTGGACTTTCTGGGTTTTTAAAAAAAAAATTGATTTGACTTGTCAATGGCTTACAAGATTACAGAGATAAGAATAAACATAAATACAGGAAATAGATACAAATAATTGGGGACAGGGACGGTAGGCACAATGGTGTACTTATGCACCCGTTTTCTTTGAAGATGTTTCGCTTCTCACCCGAGAAGCTTCCTCAGCTCTGACTGGATGGTGGGGGATGGAAGGATTGACATTGCAAAATGCAAATGACCAACTGTCTGCAAGGACTATAAATCCTACAATAATAGAGATGGAAGGGACCTTGGAGGTCTTCTAGTCTAACCCCTGTTGAAGCAAGAAACCTTAAACTTTAAGCCTAGCAGACTTCAACTCCCAGAATTCCCCAACGTTGGCAACTTTAAGCTTGCAGGACTTCGACTCCCAGAATCCCCCAGCCAGGGAATTGGATTGGGAATCCTTTCCACATCCTACAACTGCCCCAGTCTCACAACTGACCAGGCAGAACTGTGTGAACGGTGGCTGGGCAGCCATTGTGTGTGAATGCTACACCCACAGTGTCTGGCGTTGAGCAACAGTTGCTGAGAATCTTAGTGGTAAAAACTATATTCGATCCCAATGGAGCAGTTCGGAAATCAATCAATTCATTCCTGCCAGCAGTAAAAAGTTGATTTTTTAAAAACAAACAAAAAACAAGCCCCTGGAAGATGACTGACAGCCAAGCTTGCCTGCCTGAATATCTCCTTTGTATTAGTTTGCACATTTTTTTTTTAAATGCAAGGTGGATATCTGCATGCAGGTGTGAGGTGAGCAGACTCACCTTTTGGGATGTCTTTCCCAGTAAGGGGGGGGGTCAACCTGAGGCCATATAGACAGACCTTGGCGGACTCCAGGCTCCAGCCCTGCCCAATGTGGGAATGCCTTACACCCTTTGCTAGGTTTAATGGGGGCCAGAAGAACAGGGGGAGAGGCAAAACTTTCAAAAATAAAATAATAAAATCCCAACCCTGCCAGATATTTCTGGTTCATTTATTTCTGGTCATTTCCTGCTTATGATAATTATGCTTTTAAATTCTGCAAATTCTCTTGGATCAATGTAGGTAACAGACCAATAAAGGAGGCTAAAATATCCCAGAATGGTTGTTTCCCTGAATCCTGAAAATTTACTTTTCGTGCAGTTTTGGGATGTCTGGATTTGGCTCTCGTGGTTTGAAAAGAAAAGAATAATTCGTTTTTAAGGATGTTTCAGCTTGCAGATAGCAGCCTCTCTTCTTTTCCTTCTCTGCTCTGTCTCCTTTCCTATCTCTTTCACCCTCTCCTCCTTTTCCTCTTTCACCTTCCATTCTTCTCCGCCTCAATCTCCTTTGCCTTCTTCCTCTTCTCCTCTGCCTTCTCCTTCTTCTCTTATTTCCATCTGACCCCTTTTCCTTCACATTCTCCTCTTCCTTCTTCGCCTTCCCTTCTCGGTCTCCATTTTCTACTTTTGCCTTCTTCTCCTGCTTTTGTTTTCTCTCTCCTTCTCCTTCCACCACCTTCTACCTGGAAGGCCAACAGGCACCCAGCTTTATTTCCCACCCACCCCTCTATTTTCCCCTCATTGCGCTCCTGGCTGTGCCCTCTTTTTCTTACTTGGCTAATAAAACACACAAAAGAAGGGAAGATGGAATTGTTCCACGAGGACTTTGGATTGAGAACATGGACGATGTTGTGTTTCAAATACACGTCAGATCAAAATAATCTCCCCATCTTGTTTTGTGTTGTCTGTTCTAAGAAAATTAGCCAGATACTTTGGAGGGCTGGGGTTGAGCCTTCTTAATGGGGGCCTTCTTAGGGGGATGCCTCTTGGCTGGAGGGGCTGGGCCCCCCCTTAAGAAAGCCCCTCTTGTAAGGGGGATGAGTCCAATTAGACCAGCTGATCCCTCTTTTATTGTTATCCATCTCCTTCCCTCAAAGGACAGTCCAGAAGGGGAAAGGGGTCAGACAAAGTGAAGCTGGCATCTGCCACTTACGTAGAAATGGGCCTGACTTTGACGGCATGGTCAGTGCTGCCATCTTGACTTTTTTGACCCCCTAAATGTACCCCTCATTCAATGACATGGGCTTCATCTGTAAAATTCAAAAGTCCAATTAAACTGGTTAATCTTACAAGTTTCCAGGGGAATCTGCTGGGTATTTTTAAAATAGAATGTAGAATAGGGTAGAGTAAAATAGAATATAGAATATAAAATTGAATAGAAGAATAGAATAGGAAAATTAGAATAGAATAGAATAGAATTAGAATAGAATAGAATAGAATAGAATAGAATAGAATAGAATAGAATAGAATAGAATAGAATAGAATAGAATTCTTTATTGGCCAAGTGTGATTGAACACACAAGGAATTTGTTTGGTGCAAATGCTCTCAAGTGTAAAAAAATAAAATTACATTCATCAAGAATCATAAGGTACAACACTTAGTGATAGTCATAGGATACTAAATGATCAAATCATACTAGGAAACAAAACAATATAAATAATAGAGATACAAGGCAAGATGATTTCAACTCAATGTCCATCTCAGTTTTCTTTCATTCATTCATTCATTCATTCATTCATTCATTCATTCATTCATTCATTCTGTATAGCTGCCCATTTCCTTCATGGACATAGATATATGTTAAAAACCAACAAGCTAATGCAGAATTAAAAAGAAAAAAGATGTGTGCAAAAAGAATAGAGAAAAGTAGAAAAATCTTCTGATTTTCTTTACAGCAAATATACAGTAAATATGATTACAAAGTTATTTCTTACCCTATGGATTAAAAAGCTGGGTTTTTTCCCCGATTATTTAATGGTTTTCCAACTATCAAAGCCACATTTTGTTTGTGGGTGTATGTGTGTCATGCAAAAAGTTTATAAGGAGTTTCCATCAGCCATAAATGTAATTATTGTCTTTTCTCTAATCAAGAAAGTCAATTTAGCTATCTCTGTAAATTCCATCATCTTCACCAACCATTCCTTGTACTTTTCCACTTTAGAGCATATAGGAATCTTACTGCAGTTATCATATATATACGATATATATATCGTATATATATATAAAAATTCCATGGCTTTTTTCTATTTGCCCATTAATCCCACAAGAAAAGTTTCTGGCTTCACTTGTATGTTTAAAATCTTCTGAATTAGTGTGTGCATTTGTATTGAAAATTGTACCATCCACCATACATGATAAAATGCCTCATCATATGGTTCACATTTCCAGCAAAGATCCAAAGTATCTTTACACATTCTAGACAACTTATCTGGTGACAAAAAACAATGATCCATCATTTTATAAAATTTTCAGCCTCCTCAATAGTATAAATAATTCAAAATAGATTTTATTTTCCCATCGATCTATTTGTATATCATAGGCAAAATAGTTAGCCCATTTTATCGCACATTCTTTCACTTTTTTTCTTCTGCTGTCTTATATTTCAACAAGAGTTTAGACATCTTAACAATAACACGTTCATCATTTGTATTTATACTGTTTCAAATTCAGTCTCGCATTGTACTGAACCATATAAGTTTTTACCCACTTTAAAAGTGGCAATCACACATTAAAAAAAAAAATAGATTGTCAAAT